TTTTTTAAAAAAATGCGGCTTTTGGGAGAATTTCCTGGAAAAAAGTTTTTGGGTTTTTTTTTTTTTTTTTTTTTTTTTTTTTTTGCACTCATAGTTCAGCACCTGTTTCTGATCCTGTTTGCTGAAATAAGCCTATGTTTTGATGCAGAGACAGCATGCAGACATTTGAGGAGCTCTCAGACATTTTCTCTGACCACAACAACTATCTGACCAGCAGAGAGCTGCTCATGAGGGTAAGTCGGATCCAGATTGCCTCCCACCGACCCAACTAAATCCCAAAATTAATTCCTATTTAACTAGCGTCAAACTTCAGGTGAAAACCTTTCTTTCTTTATTTATTTAATTTTGTTTTTCATTTATTCACAGGAAGGTACTTCAAAGTTTGCCAGTCTGGAGAGCTGCGCCAAAGATCACCAAAAGCGCACTCACAAGAGACTGCAGCTGCAGAAAGAAATGGTGAGAGAATCCCTGGTGAAGTTCAGAAACGACAACCAGGCAGATGGATTTCTTTCCTTTTTTTTTCTTTTCTTTTTCAAAAGCGGCTGACACAAAAAGAAAAATGCAAACAACACATTCCTCCTGAGCAATGTAGTGAAAGGAGAAATTCTTGCCTCTCCAGGATGCTGAAGCCACATGCTTAGCTTTGTTTATCCAACGCGCTGTGTGCTGGACGCACATTAAGTCGGGGCTGTAATTTGCAGGCCTGCCTCGCCATCTGTCAACAGCTCAGTGTAAGCAGCAAAATCTAAAACTTCCATAAGCATCAGGGGGAGAGAGCTAAGAAAGAAGGGCTTGTTGACTAACACGCCTTTACAGAAGCCACAACATTGCTCTCTGTCTGTTCACTTTCTACAAATGAACTGACAATTTGTCAAATCCGAGAGGCTTCTTTTTCTCTCAAATATTAGAAACACATGTAACATATATTGTAAGATCAAATGCAATGTCTTATTTACTGTTAAAGTGACCAAAAAACAAACAAACAAAAAAAACGTTTCTTCACAGGGCGCGATGCAAGGCACAATACCGTACTTGGGGACGTTTCTGACTGACCTGACCATGCTGGACACGGCCCTGCCAGACATTGTGGAGGTAAATATTCCTTAATATTGATGAAAAATATTAAGGAATATATATATATATATATATATATATATATATATATATATATATATATATATATATATATATATATATATATATAGATATAGATATATGGTATGTGACGCCCCCAGGGTCTGACCGTACGCTCTCTGTGTCTTTGTGTCCACAGGGGGGCCTGATCAACTTTGAGAAGAGGCGCAGGGTGAGGAATCCTCCTGTTTATTGGCTGACATGAAGGATTCAAATGGCTTTTCTGGTGTGAGGCATTTTTTTTTTTTTTTTTTGCCTTTGGTGACCGTCCTTCTGTCCTTCTGCCTCTGCAGGAGTTTGAGGTGATCGCCCAGATCAAGCTGCTCCAGTCGGCCTGCAACAGCTACTGCCTGACTGCAGACCCGGCCTTCCTCCGCTGGTTTAAGAACCAACCTCAACTCAGTGAGGAGGAGAGGTACTGCTGCTTTTCCCTCACTGTGTCTCGTCTCCTAAACGTGTCAACAATCACATCAGTGTGTGAGCCACGGTCTGTTGGATCAATTGTTCGTGCTCATAAACACATGATGAGCTTCTTTCTCCCTGTTTTCCTACCATTCCTTCACTCCCCACCGATCTGCCGTGTTGATTTTTGTCTTTTGTTTCTCCTCGCCGCCTCGCAGCGGACTTGGCTTATTAAAGTTTTATGATACTCAGGGTTTATTGCTCTGTCTTACAGCTACGCCTTGTCTTGTGAGGTCGAAGGGCTCGGCGACAGCAGCCCGACTTTACCCAAACCTCGAAAGAGCATGGTGAAGAGAATCAGCCTGTGAGTTCACTCTCAAAACAGATGAATGATAGAAGATCTGAGGGGGGAGGGAGGGGGGTGTCAGTCATATCTAAGCATATCTTTCTTTTACTAACATATAACCCCCATTCCTCCACTGGGCAGATTGTTTCTTGGGCTAGACAGCAGCACAGCCAGTTCACCAGTCAGAGAGACGCCGCGCTCGCCTCCTGCTGGCAGCTCGGGAGAGAGCATGGACTCGGTCAGCGTGTCGTCCAACGACTCCAGCGGTCCGTCTGACAACGAGGGGCTCGCCAGTCCGACTCACAACGCCGACTCCAGTCAGAACAAGGTGAGTTACGACCGAAATAATGATTGTCAGGGATAGAACAAAACAGAAATATCCGTTACCGACCCACCGCGGGGAAATGAAAGGTGCAAGTGGAAGAGTGAATATTCACACAACATAAAAGATAAGAATGAGATGCAGAGTAAATTTAAAACATGAGAATCAGACTGTACAGTTTAAAAAAAAAAAAAAAAACTTTCTCAGATTAAGATAAATATGCAAGGGAGTGGTGTAATTCAAAGAGAGAACAAGATGTGAATGTTTATTTTGTGCATAAAAAGCAGACTATTTACAAGAAGTGAGGTAAAAACCCCGTAAACAATAATATACTACAAATAACAGCACAAATGTTATTTAAAATGAGATAGAATTGTAAATAACAGCAGGGATGCAAACATTTATTGAGGCCGGTGTGCAAAGTGAACAAAAACTTAGAATAATTAGACATGTTTCATGTGGAGTATAAGTGGAAATCAGCTAGAGACTATTGAAGTTTGCAAGTTTGCAGTCAAATAACTTTTTATAAAAAATAAACCAAAAGAAAACACGTCACCCCTCAGAAAACAAAAGCATAGAGTTATTTCTTCCCGTTTCCACGAATGTATGACTTTTGTTATCTGACGCTGTTTTACATTTAAAGTAAAAAGCTGGTGCAACACATTGCTGAGCTGGATGTCACGATTCTACGGTTACTGGAAGGAGGGAAAGGAAACAGTTGAACTTTCTAACGAGTTAAACTGTTTTTACGTTTTAAAACTTGCCAAACGTATCACTTTGTTTCAACTGCATTCAGCTGCTGCCTCAAATAACTAACATTCGTACACGACCACGTCTGACTCTCCTCTCAGCTCTCAGAGTCGTCGTCCTGCACCTCGCTCCACTCCATGGACACCAACTCGTCGACCGCCAGCGGCTCCATGACTCCCGCCTCGCCCTCGCTGCCCGGTCGCCCCGGCACCCACAGGCGGTCCATCTCCCTCACGCCCATGTGCCCCTGCTCCCCGAGCCAGACCCCGGCGTACAACACCCAAGCCCAGGACGCGTGCATCGTCAGAGTCAGCCTGGAGCACGGCAACGGCAATCTGTACAAGAGCATACTGGTGAGCAAAAAAAAAAAAAAAAGGCAGGATTTGTGCTTTTCGAAAGAAAAACGGCTTTGGGATTTTGAGGCAGTCTGCGACGAAGCAGGCGAAATCCTGATGTGTCTGTTGTTGTGTTAATAGCTGACCAGTCAGGACAAGACCCCGGCTGTGATAGCCAGAGCCATGGCCAAGCACAACCTGGAGGTGGAGCCAGAGGAAGGATTTGAGCTGGTACAGGTCATCTCTGAGGAGAAAGGTAAAAACATGGCTGCCAAAAAGTGTCATTTAAATACAAACAGATTCACACACACACATACACACACACACACACACAAATAAACAAAGATTTCAACTTTAGTGATATTTTATATTCCCCGCTGATTATTTGACCTTGATCCCATTTAGAAATGGATCACTGACAGCTTCTTAACACTAAGTGTTTGTTTTCTCTTTAACGTCTCTCAGAGCTGGTGATTCCTGACAACGCCAACGTCTTCTACGCCATGAACACTTCAGCCAACTTCGACTTCCTGCTGCGCGCTCGAGGCTCGGCCGGTCGACCCGTGCAGCTGAGGAGCCGCTGCAGCTCCACTCTTCCTCGCGCTCAGCATCGCTCCAGCCTCTCGGTCAGACTCAGCAAAGTCACGCTGTGACCTCCCACCCCGGTGCTCCCTTGGGCTCTGCGCTACTCTAATCCAGGCCACTTTGGATGGTCGCAGTGGGAGGATTTGTTAATAACCTAAGAGCTCTGAGTTATTTAACATGGACCATATGCATTTCAGTGAGCTCTCCTGTTTTCAGACTCTTCCCATTTGGGTCTCATCACAAACTCTGCCATCATCACCTTGTCAGCCTTAATGTGCAACTGTGCAACAGCGACCCCAAGTGGCCTCCGACAGATTTTTTTTTTTTTTTTCACAGGCGGGGGGGGGGGGGGGGGGGCGCCGCAAACCCCCCCCCCCCCCACGATT